CCTATTTTAGGAACAGAGGGGACAGGACAAGCGTGTGAACTGCCCTGCCAGCAATTTCTTCTGTTTTCACAAATTAAAGGAAAATTGCAGATGTCCGTATGTTCCCAAAGTTCCCAACTCCGCACTTCGCCTTAAATTACGTAACCGCCAACTTATTACAGTTAATAAATCTCGACGTGTGACAGGCAGAAACCCTTTTTTTTTTTTTTTTTTTTTCTTTTTTGAGAGCGTCCTCCAGTTCACGTTTACCCACGCGGGAAACTCAGAAATGGGATGATGCGTGGACACATGGTTAAGTGCCCCAGGATGCCTAACACACTTTGAGAGATTTATGAGTGCAGATGTCCCCTCAATTGACACGAAAAAGTTGGCATATCAGTGATATGTAAAGGAACCTTACCTATTTTTGTAAGAATGCAATTTGGGTAACTAAAAAAAAAAAAAACAAAAGGTGCGCAATTTGCGCGAGGTGTATATTCATTTTTTTCACTTGCTTCCACGCGACAGAGTACTTTTTCTTGTAGTAGTCATTTGGGGTAACCTGGGAGGGAGCTCATTTAGTTTAGCAATGGAAGAACCCTCCTGCTATTTTCAGGTTCTGTTCATTTGTTCACCCCACCCCTCTGTGTTGCACGTCGAACGTACCTTCAATGACAACAACGTTTTATGTGGCTCATCCACAACTGCCAGGGCATACAGGAGAAAAACCCACCAGCGTGTGATCTTTTCCTGCAGAGTCGCACAGCTTTAACAGTTCACCTCCGTGATACTGAACCCTTTTTGTTAATTAAAATTTGTCCAGTTTTTATGAGATAGAAAAAAACAAAGACTAACAAATACGCGCGGTGTGTACGTGATTCCCCCCATATGCACACACAAAATTAGTACAGAGAACTCACCCTAATGGGGAAGCAGGGCAGTCAAATTGAAGGGGAATAAAAAAAAAAAATCGATATAACTTATAGTGCAACAGAGCAAGCACAGGCAAGGAATGGAATTGGCACTAGGCCACGTGTCGGCCTGCACACCACACCCCGCGCTCAATAGTACGCCTCCTCGTCGAAACCAATCCCGCAGTCGTTAAACGTTTTCAGGAAGACCTCGCTTGTGATGCTCCCATCGACGCACGCCTCGGACGCCATGTCGATGATCATCAGCAAGTTCTTAATGGAGATGCTTTTGATCACGTTTGCCGCGAGCACTTGCTCTATCTCCCGTTCAGGGAAATCGCGACAACTCTCGTTCCGGTTCTGCAAAACGTTCCTAATTGAGGAGGAACAATGTAACAAGGGCACTTCTATATTCACAAAAAAGTTTTTAATCAATCCAACATCCTTCATAAATTGATACTCGGACGTGGTGCATATGATTAAAATTTTCTGGTTTTCCTTTTTGGGTTTCTTTTTTATTAAAACCATGATTGCTTGCAGGACGGGGTTACTAAATCGAGGCCCAATGCGTGTGTAATCGATAAGCCTCTCTATGTTATCCAAAATGACTAACGAAAGGGGTGTTTTATACGCATCTTCGAAAATTTTATTTATGTAATTTATCCTGCTAATTTCGGAGTACCCAATTAGATTTTCCGGGGTGATAAATTTTGTGAAATGAAAATTAGCGCTCTTAGCAAGGTAAGCGGCAATGGTAGTTTTTCCTGTCCCGTTTTCTCCATACAGGAGGACACTCAACAAATTTGTGTTTGCATTTTCTACAATCTGTTTAATTAGCAGCTTGCATGTATTCTCAATATTTTCGTACTGCTCCCCATAATTGATAATCCCATTAGACAATAACCCATCAATGACGTCTTCTTGCGCTCCAAAGGCTGGCTTCGTCTCTTTCAATGCCTTATCAAAATCCTTCTTGGTTATCATTATGTCATCCGCGTTAATCGGTTTCGTTAAGTCATTAAAATTTATGTGCCTCTCGAAAGCATACGATACAGTGTTTCTCACTAACCCTTCAATTTCTGCACCAGAAAAGTTTGGAGTCTTTTCGGCCAATTCCACAATATTCACATCTGGACTTAGCTTATTGCTCTTTCTCATGCTCTTCGTGTGAATGTTCAAAATTTGGATCCTTCCCTCCTTATTGGGGAGGGATATTTCTATGTGCAGTTCGAATCTCCCGGGTCTCAACAGCGCATCATCAATTAAGTCAATTCGGTTGGTCATTCCGATCAGCAGTATATTATTCAAGCTGTTTACACCATCAATTTTGGAGAGTAACTGATTCACAATGCTATCGTTTACACCAGTCCCACTTGAAGCAGCACTACCTCTCTGTCGACAAATAGCATCAATTTCGTCTAAAATGATAATGTGTAGCTGTGAATTTTCTCCACTCTGTTTATATTCCAGCTCTGCGTCTTTAAATAGGTTCCTAATATTTTCTTCTGACTGTCCTACATATTTATTTAATATTTCTGGACCATTAATAATTTTTGGTTCTCTCGCATTCAGTGTTTTACCTATCTGTCTAGCTATTAATGTTTTTCCTGTCCCCGGGGGCCCATACAAAATGAGTCCCTTTACATGTTTGATCCCCAGTTGTTTAATTATATAGTTGGGGTAAATTCTGCTTGCAAAGGTTCGTCTAAATATGGTCTTAAATTCTTCATCAAGTGCTCCTATCCCTAGCTCTTCAAAATTGAAGTTGCTCTTTATAATGTTCTTTTTTAACACCTTCTTAGATTCAATAAATAACTTCCCATCACTCATGCTGGTGAATATACATTCGGTGTTCTCGAACAGAATGCCCCTTTCCTGTGCCCCAGGTTGTCTATACATACTGGTACTACTCATTGGGGTGCTATTCCCTAACTTGAAGAAGGAACTTGCGCTGCTTGGGGGGGCCAGGTTGCCCTTGTTTAGCCTTTTTATTTCGTCAAACTGTGCCGCCTTGAGATCTTTTATAACGCACTTTAACAAAATGTCATTACATTTTAGGGCTAGTATTTGGCCTTTCGTCAATACATGGTTGATAAAATGCTTTTTAAAAACTCCTTCCAAAACATCATCTTCCATTTCGACCAACCGATCAGGTTTCACAAATAGGGTTACCTCCACATCGATGCTATCAATAGGGATGAAATGGATGAGGTCTCTTTTGCTTTCCTTATCGAGGATATTCAACTGCACAGCTTCCTTCAGTTGGATCCTTGAGAATTCCCTTTGGCACGTATTCAATGCAATTTCATCCTTCCCAATATTCCCATCCCCTTTTAGTATCAAAACCGTGTTCCCTACTTCTGCGTACAATTCGCTACTCTTAGAACTCCTCTTCAAGCTGTTGTACAAACTCGAGTTGATGAAGCCATAGTTGGTCAGTGCCAATTCCTGCGATTGCAGTTTGCAGCAGTACAGATTTGCAGTTGTCATTTTTGTGTGACTATGTATATGACTATGCTCTATTTGGTACTTCCGTTTCTGTTGTAGCCCCCTCTTTTTTCCCTTCAGTGGTGCGGTCGGCTATCACTTGTGCTGTTTCCTCCCTTTTCTGAGTAGAGAACAAGTCGCCACAGGGATCACAGCGTTATAAAACCAAGAGCGGTTACCTCAATCGTCGCACTTTCTCTGCGTAGATATGCATGTAAGTATACACTACCTGATGCATATCTGCGCACGAGAGCAAGTACAATTGAGATTTTCCTACCGTTGGGAAATTTCTTCGGCTCGCATCGATAGTCTAAGCCAACCCTTCTCGTATACCTTCCTCTTCTACACAACCGAACAGGATTAAAAAAAAAAAAAAAAAAAAAAAAAAAAAAAAAAAAAAAAAAAAAAAAAAAAAAAAAAAAAAAAAAAAAAAAAAAAAAAAAAAAAAAAAAAAACAGTTAACCTCGAATCGGAGAAATAATGCAATGAAACAGTCATGAACTGTCTCCAAAGGTGCGACTTTCTAGGTGCGTATTAATGTACTTGCCGTGGGGGGCAGAGAGCACGCATAATTTTGTAGGCTAAAGTTTTAGTGGGGGGGCTCAAACTCAGTCATAATCCGTGCAGCAATACATTGTTAGCAATCCACACCAACAAAGTAGGATTCAATTTTTTTGTTGCTTTGTAACCTCTTCCAGTATTTCATTCCCTCACTCGTTTTAGAGGATCAAATGGGGGAATTGTCTTCCACTTCATCAATTTCAACTATTGTCCTTTACCTCAGTTGAAATATTCTTGTTCGTCCGGGGGGATCCCATCCGAATCGTCCTTTTTTAACGGCGATTTTTTCTCCCGTTCCGTGCGCAGAACAATTTCGAGTTAGCAAACAGCAACCGCTATATCTACTTTGTTGATGCAAAAATATACCGTCGCGGGTTTTTTTGCAAATGTGCCCGGCAGCGGGGAATAAATGCCTTTTTGTTCTTGCCGGCAACTGCACAAAGGCGATGCGCGCGCATTTTTTTTTTTTTTTTTTTTTTATAATCATGCGCTCATTTAACTGGGCCCAGTTGATGCAAACAACATTTGACAAGTGGCGAGTTCGCCTCATAAAACTGCTTACCAAAAAAACGCGATGCGCACCGTATTGTGCGCAGATCTGTCCAGTAAAAATGGCCACCAAAAAAAAAAAAAAAGGGGGCTCTCACCTCAAGGCATACACATTGAGCGCGGTTGAAATTTGCCATCCTGCAACAGCCTTTATTTTTTCCCCCAAAAAATGGACGAAAAAAAAAAAAAAAAAAAACACACACGACGAAACATCACAAATTGGAAACACATTTTGGTAAAACTTTGTGCATATGCAAAAGGGTAAAATGGCTGGGACGCATACAACGGTTAATTTTGTGAAAGCACAATGTGTTTGTCACCATCGCCTCACCAACACTGGGACAGTCATATTCATTTGGACCTCTGCGAAACTTCTTTGTTCCCCTGTTGTCCTTCCAAATGTGCAAATTTGTATGTTTTCCAATTTATGCGCACCAACATGGAGTGGGCGGGGGAAGGAAAAGTCTTGCTGAGGGGTGTCCTATCAAACTACGCTCCAAATCATAGCACAGCTCAACAAGCTGGGCCCCCCTCGGTGGGACTGCCCATTTGGGAGGCGTCCATCATCTCAACCCCCTTCTCGGTAACCACATCATAATAAAATAAGTACTCATTAATCATGTCGTCCATATACCTGGGGGCAATCTGCGTGCCAGCAACAAAGGTATCAACACTAGCAAGTACATCAAACTGCCGAAACCAGAAGGGTAGATAAATGATGAGTCTCATATTATCAATTAGTTTCACATATGCTGTTAACAGACAAGTGAAATTCGCGCACAGGGGAACTAACTGGACATTGTTCTCCCTCAGGTACTCCTCCTTAATGAACGGATTTGCATTTTTAAAATCTGCATTTATGTATAACCGATCGATGTAATAATCCACCCTGTTGGCTTCCAGATTGTCTTCACATCTCTCCCCCATTCCGTAGTGCCCTACTAACTCCCCATGAATGCCGTCCCTTTTCCGTTTATTTCGGGATGCACTGCTCGCCACATTCACATCCATACACAGGCATATGATATTGTTAAAGAAGAACCTGCTAGCATTGAAATATCCATGTGGAAATAAGTTAAAGTAATACCTATTAAAAATTAAGCTGCTCAACTTAATATTCTTCAAACTAAAAATGGCACAGTTGAACAGTGGTCCGTTGCGTTGAGGGGTTTTATACATCTGGGTCGAACATTCCTGCGTTATCACTTTGGTTTGTTCTCCTTCGCATTCACTCACGGTGTGCCTAACTTTGTCATGACATATTTCTTCCAAGGGTTTATCATTTGTAGACAGCTTCTTTCCAGTTAGGAGGCTCTCATCCACGAGGGCTGCTTTGTCTTCCGGGGGGTCTCCTTGATGGTGTAACATTGCTTGCTCTTTCACTTCACCAACAATCTCGCTGCGACGCGAATTGCGATGCGAATTCCCATCGGACAAATTACCCAAATGGCGATAGCGATCCCTCAAGGTGCTGCCAAACGAGGGGCTGTAGGAATAAAAAATTATCTTCTTAAACTTGTAAAAAAAGTGACAAAAAATACGAAACCACCTTAATCTTTTTGCTTGGATGGAACATTCTTCCGATCTGTGCAGTATCTGATTCATATTGGCATGCGATAGAATATTTTCATAGCTTACAAAATTGATTACCCTGACACAATTCCAGCCAAAAAAAAACCTCATTTTTTTTTTTAAATAGTCGTACTTGTGCTCACTTTCGAACTGCATTTCGTAATTGTTCGTACCACTTTGGTTTTCCATCCTTTTATATTTCCCTTTATCATCCACCTCTTTGTTACTGTACCTGGGATGGCCATCCCCCTTGAAGTCATTACTTCCCCGTGGACCGATATTCACATCCACGTTGTTAACACCCCTCACATGCGCTTGGCAGTCTCTCTCTTTAAAATTATTGCCTTCCCTGTTGTGGCAAAAATTATTGTGAATAATTTTCTCCCTTTCGAAAGACATGTCAAATTTGTGAAATAAAAAATTGTGTTCCTTCAGGTGACTATACTGACTGATAACGTTAAAGAGGGAATGCGGCTCCGAAATTAGAGACACATTTTTATTGTTCAAATTTAAGATGGCATAGATGTCGTTTCGTCTGCATAGCCTAATCAGCAGAAAATCATTAAACAAGTAGGACACAAATTCTTCTTTGCTCAATTTGCTCTTTACATTTTCTTCACATTTTAGTGAATCAATTTGAACGATAAAATTACAATTGCTCAGATAGATATTTAAATTTAAAAGGAGCAACCCAATATTTTCGACCCATCCGAAGGTGTTAATTAGGACAGGATAGCAGCACTCGTTCATTTTATTGGTTACTCTTCTTTTGTTCTTCTTTTTCTCAAAGTAAATATGGAATAAGTAAAAGTACAAGTATTCCAGACACTCAATGTAATAATTTATATTTTCCCCGATGGAGCATCCTCCAAAAAATATTTTTTTAATACACTTGGCTTTTTTCTCAAAAAAATTATAATTATTTAACGGGCCCTTTATTTTATATATGGACAGAAAGCCACTTATTCCTATTATCGGTTGTCCCACATCAATGTCTACCAGATATACTTCTTCGTGAAAATTTAATAAATTATTTACCAAGTTCATAACCAAGAGACTCTTTCCCTTCCCCTTGTTTCCCATGATCATTATGCTAAATATGTTGCTCATATCTCTCTCTCTTTTGTAGTATGGGTAATCAAACTGGTGAATCCTGCTGTTTATTCTGTTCCTTTTGTAGAACTCCCAGGATTCAATTTTGGTCAATCTGGCCAATGCGGGCAATTCCGTTATTGCGTTTGCGACTGCGTCCATCGTGCGCTCCTCCTGTGGTTCAAACACTTCATTTTCAACCACGTTATCGTCTCCTTCATGTGGTACGCTGAGGTGGTCTCCCCTCTTGTCATAGCGGTAGTCGTTCTCCCTGCCATCCGGGTTGGTCTCTATTCCATCATGGTCGCTCCCCTGATCATCTGCCCTCGCCAACATGTCCCGCACCAGGTACTTCTTCCAGATCCGTATGTAGCGCAGGAACTCCTTCAAAATGTAGGACACTTGGTAGGTGTCAATATACGGGATATTATTGTGCTGTGAGTTAGACAGATTGAACTCCTTCCCACAATGTTTATTCGCGAAATGGTAAAGAAAATCTTTCTTTTTCTCAAAGGCAATAATGATAGGGTACTTTTCCCCCAAATTATTTGTGCTTATGGAATCCATCATGTGCACACTCGCTAGAGTGCTAATATCATATCTGTCCGCGTTCACCACATATTCGTAGAATTCTTTCGTCTTACCATTTTCCCTTTTTAAAATATTCAATCCATACAAATAATTTTGCAATATCTTATTGCTACATTCGTTCAGGCAACAATTCTGTTTACATGTGTGGGAACACGTATTGGAGCCTCCATTGGATTCCCTATTTTGTTTCGAATCAGTTAAATCGCCCCTCGTTTGCGTTATGTCCGTATCGATTACCCCCATTTCATCTCCTCTTTGTGCTGCATCGCTTTGGTTAGTGGCCTTCTCTTCCCTCTTCGCCTCTGCCCCGCAACAATCACTACTGCAACCTTTAGAATCCTTTGCAAAAAAGACAAATCGGTTGTTCTCATATTTAACGTTACTTCCATTCAGGGCCACAAGTTTGAACAAGGGGTAAAAGTCCGGTATGCGCACATTTGTGTATCTGTCCGATGGCTTCATTACCTGCCCGTTAAATTTCGCCAACCCCCTTAAAAGGCGAAAGCGGAAGTTCCCGCGCAGGAAAATCCACTCGTCATAATTTAACCCCAACAAGTATATCTTCTTTTTGCACGTCTCTTCATCTCCCCCTTTCGTGTGTACGAACGTATACTCGTGACCCTCCCTGACCTTTTTTACCGTGTCGTGTGACTCGATTAGGTTGTACTCAAAGTGCAGACGGCACTTGAGGTAGTCCTCGGAACTGCACATTTTGGCTTCTCTTGGTTGGGTGCAGTTGCACCTTGGGCCCTTTTTCTTATATTTTTCCGCCGTGATGGTGGGGGTTGCTGCCCCCTTTTTTGTTTACACCTCACGGGGCCTGCACTTTGGTCAAGCTATAAACTTAAATTCCCCTTTAACTCATCACAAAATGGCAAACTTTAAAACACACAACGGTAATATATCAGGGGAAGCGGGGGCAAAAAAAAAAAAAAGAATTACAAATTCTTCTCAAACACTTTACAAAACAATTATTGCAAATTTACTGTTTTACAGTTGCAACGTTATCCAATAAGAAAAAAAAAAAAAAAAAAAGGAGAATAGGAACAAGAAGAGTCTCTCTTTTTCTACATGCGGTTAATGGCACATCCCGTTTTTCCTGACGTTACGATAGGGGGTATACGTCAAAGGCCTATGTTCTATTGCCGTCATAAAGCGTATGTCATGGCCGGAAAAAAAAAACGACTTCATGGTATCTTCTGCATATTATGCAGAGGGAAGGGAAAGCAGAAATGATAATTTTTCTGGCTACATCTGCAGGGCTAATAAGCGCCAACCCTTAAACAGAAGAGTTAATAAAATGTGGCCTTATAGGGCATTTCCCAACTTGTGAGCAATGTGTTGTTGTGCAAATGGATGAAGGTAAAACGTGTTAACTATTTAGAACTGCGTATAGGTCGTAATACATATTTTCTTTTTTTTCTCGATATTTCCCAAACGTAGCAGCGCTTTACAATTTAAATTTGAAGTGGCAAAATGTGAGCGAGGGTAAGGGGAAGCACATCATTTTGGTCGCCATTTTTGTTGACACCCTCTAATCCACACCCTTCCATCTGGGTTTTCCTTTTTATGCTTTCCTTACTGCACCTCCCCACTGTGCGTCCCGCGTCTCTTTAATTTTTAACGACTACGGCTTGGTGGGTAGCCCCATGGGGGATGCGCACGTACGTGGACTACGTTGGAGTGGATGTAAATCGCATTGGTACGGCTTAACCGTGCAGAACAGGGACCGCGCAGGAGGGAAAACAATTTGCAGAGAGTAGAAAACTGCAGATGTGCGCGCCACTCCGTTATGTCACAACTTTATACTCTTAACAGGGGGAGAAAACCGGCATCCGCATATACGCACAAAGGCACAAGGAAGGGGAAAGGCAAAGGGTTAAATCTTAACATATATGTACGTGCAACAATTTTAAGCACGCGTAGAGGCTATATTTTGAAACCATCACCCACATGTACGGATGTGGGCAATTTATTTTTTTCTTTTTTACACGCACACACTACACATGAGAAGAACATTAACTTCTATGTACCTTTCTCATGCCCGCTTTTTCAGGGTACCCCACCATTTTTTGTAGACTTTGAATTTTTGTTTTTTTCATTTTTGCGCCCATTTTCCGATCACTTTGTGGGTCTGTAATATCTACTCATACCATTTTTGCGAACCTTTTTGCCCCTTCGCCCCGCTTTGCGCTTCTCCTCATTGCGTCCCCCTTTTTTTTTTTTTTTTTTTTTTTTTTTTTTTTTTTTTTTTGCCCTCACTCCGCGCGTTCGTTGACCCCAACTTTGACGAACGCGCAAAAGTGTATAGTCTTTTATTTTCCCATTTCTAAAATTTCTAGGAAAATCTGTACGAATAATTAGCTAAACATTTTTCTCTCACCTGCATTATAACTGCTCTTACTCTTCACCCTCATCTTTTTTTGTATTGCATTATTGTGCAATTTTTTACACATTATTATTTATTTCTTTTTATTTTCAATTTCACACGCGTTTGGTTAAATCTCTTTTTGCTTTTTTAAGATATGTATATTTTTACCTTCGTAATTTCGTAACTTGCCAACTTGGTAAATTCTCAAATTCACACCTTCCTAACGTCGTAACGTTTTTTCCATTTTTGTTCCCATTTTTTTGTGTAACCTTTTTTTTTTTTTTTTTGCAGTCACATATTATTTTCCCTTCTGCTATTGGGTGTATAACTCTTCGAGTTTCCCTGTAACGGGTAGCTTGGCCTATTCGTTTTTGCTTGCTTGCCTGCCTTGTTCTCTTACTCCATTCGCGAGACCCCTTCTGTGTTCACAACTTCCACCCGTACATCCCCCTCCTCTACCGACAAGCACCCTTGTCGAACAATGGAAGTCGCCTGACCCGGTCCCAGCAAGTTCGAACAAATTATAGGAACAGGTAGAAAGCACAAGTCAAGTGATGGGTCACACATATATACTAACGCAACTGTGTGTATATGTATATATATGTAAGCAACCCTATAGGTGCTAAGGCGGACTTGTATATATATCTTCATATGTGCCACTTTACCTATGTGCGTAGCTCCAGTTGCGATTCCGCCACTCGTAAGGCTGTGCATTTGCTCCCTGACCACTCCGCCTTGATCGCCTATTATGTGTAACCTGCGCTAGAGAAAACCATGTAAGAAAATCACGATCATGTAAATGGTCAAACGAAAGCAAGGTGGGCTCTGGGTGTACATAAAATGGCACGCCCAGTAAGAGCCTCCCCCGTCCCATTCGCAAGAAAAAAAAAAAAAAAGATTAGAAGTCATATAGATAAAGAGTGTTGTGTGCATATGACCGTGGGGGTGACAACGCCCCCCCTATGCATCACACGGCGAACTAACCCTTCTGTCCACACCCCTCATCGTAACCCGTCCACTTTACAACCCTCGTCGCAGGTGGGGAAAAATAGTAAGCAGCGTGTCCAACGCGCTGGACTTTAACCAAGCTACCCTCAGCGGGTGCATCGATATCATTTGCGTAGAGTCTGAAATTGAGAGCAAGGTCAAAGGGGAAAAAAAAATAAGCGTCACGTACAAGTCGACCCCGTTCCATGTGAGATTTGGAAAAACAAAATTGTTAAGGTCAAAGGAAAAGATAGTAAGCATTTTGGTCAATGGAAAGAGCACAAATCTACATATGAAATTAGGTAGCGCAGGGGAAGCTTACTTTGTTGAGAAGACATATGATGATGTCGAGGAAGAATTAGAAACGTCCCCCCTGTCATCGCCTCGTCATGACTATAATGATTTATATTTAGCTGATCATATTGACAGCTGCAGTATTAACGATTCGCTAAACAATTTCAAGAGCGATGACGATTCGGATACGTCTTTCCTTCGAAACATTGCCATGGATAGGCGCAAGTCGGTGGATAGGCACTACAGAATGGATCAAGGGCAGGGGAGGAAGCAGAGCAATAGCCAAGCCAAGGGAGGGGGGGGGCCCATCACGCGGGATCAGCACGATCGGCACTTTGGACGCGATGGACTTGATCACAACCACCATAAACGTGCCTCTGCCCAAAGAGACAGCCTGAAGAAGAAAAGAAAAAACAAAAGCCCCCACATGCACCGCAACGTACTAGGTGAAGACTACGATGATCATGGTTATAAACGAAAAATGGATGGCGATGATCCAAATGCCAATTCTGAATGGTCCTGGTCATGGGGAAGACTACCCCATTTGAAAAATCAGGATTACGCCTCAGATAACTGTACAGCCATATCTTCCAACAATAAAAATGAAAAAAAGGACAAACGAAAAAAATTTTATAATAAAAGCGAATCAGTCTATGATCATTCCTCATCGAGGGAACACCTCACTTGTGTACGCAGAAGAAACTTGAGTGAATCTAATGTTAGAAAGTGCCTGAACAATGAGAGAGAAATAAAAAGCTTCCCTCGTGGCAGCAAAACGAAGCATATAAAAAGATATAGGGATAGCCACTTAGAGCATGTGAATAAGGAAGTCCCCAGAAAACTCAGCAACAAAAATGATGCGGATGACTCCATGCAGGGTCCCAAGAGGTACTCCAGGGGAAGGAATTCCACAAAAGCGGCTGCGAAGGCGTCCAACACCCTCCATCAGGGTGGCCCCAACCACAGTAGCAGTGCTAACAATGCCAATGGCAAAAATTGGGGAAACCCTGAGCATGTTGAGAAGAGGAGGGCAAGCGATAGTAAAGGACTCCCCAGTAGGGGAAACGTCGCGGATGTTAAGAGGCACAGCGAAAGGGGAAGCCAACGAAGAAGCCAGCGAGAAAGTCATCGAGGAAGTCAACGAAATAGTCAACGCGGAAGCCAACGAGGGAGTGACGCGAATAGGGATCCCACCAAATTGGCATTAAAGAAATCAGAGGCGGAATCGAAACAGGAAGATAAGGAAAAGGCGGAACCGAGGGAAGACGAGCACTCCTTGGGAGATGGAGTCAACGAGAAGGAACTTGAAAGGGGGAAGCAACGGATGATAGAGAAGTTGAAGCATAAAGCGAGGGAGCGGGCTAGGGAAAGGGCAGAAAGAAGTGGGGCTCGGACGGGAGCCGAGACGGAGGCAGACAGAAATATAGGCAGAGGAGTAGACAAAGAACACAAACGAGGCTCAGAAAAGTGGAACAAGGAGGAGGAACACCACAAGGAAAGAGCAAAATCAAGAGGGCAGTTTAAGCCACACCATGATCATCACTCCTCCGACGAAGACGCAGACGCAGAGATGAATTCGAACGACGATGATAACCAAGTAAGCTACTCGAAGGACGAACCGGAGAGCACCTTTGACGACGACATTCAAAACAGAATTGAGTGTAGCTTGTGTGGACATTTACTACTAAACCAAAATGCAGATAACGAACAGAATGATTACAGCATTGAAATTCACAACAAAAATATTTTTGAAGCGAATATAGTTACATATGAGCAGATAGACAAGAACTCTAACTTGTGGTACCATCCATCTCTTGTTTTTCGATTTGATAAAAAGGACCCTTACTATCCCTCAAGGGTTGCCCTACCCCTTCTAGCCTCCTGGGTCGTGTTCAATCAACCTCTGTCCATTTTGGCTGTTGAGAAATTACTAAACTCATCTCTAACCTTGGTCGAAATAAAAGATAAGGGATGGAGAAACTGGTTCGGAGTATCCAGTGCAGAATATGATAACACGATCAATACGAAGAATACGGCAAAAGATATCAAAGCATCGAGTCAAATTGAAGATAAAAAGAAGGAAGCGAAAAAAAGTACCATCAAGACATCACCCGTCGCAGCTGCTACCACCACCAGGAGCAGTAACAATAATAATCACATCAGTAACAGTAATGCAAATAATCATGAGGAAGGCGAAATTATATCTCTCAGAGAACAAAATGCCAGGAGAAGTATACAACACTCGTTACATAATCCAAGTGAACTCAGCAGGAGAAGCACCAGACATGGAGAAGAAAGAATAAAAATAAGGTACCGAAAGTCATTGAGACCGACATCAGAGCAACTAAAATCATTGAATTTAAAGGAAGGAGCAAACACCATAACCTTCTTAGTTACCTCCTCCTTGCAAGGAACCAAAAGTATTAATGGCACCATATACCTATGGAAGAAAAATGCCAAAATTGTTATCTCAGATGTGGATGGAACTATTACTAGGTCGAATGTTCTAGGACATATAATGCCTATCGTTGGCAAAGATTGGTCTCATGTTGGAGTTTCTCAATTATTTAACAAAATTAATAATAATGGGTACCACATTTTGTACCTTACTGCTAGGGCTATCGGTCAGGCGGACTCCACAAGGGAATACCTATTCAGATTCAAAAGAAATGACAATAATAAACTCCCCGACGGACCTTTAATTTTAAGTCCAGATAGACTCTTCCCCTCCTTCAAAAGAGAAGTTATTGATAAAAAACCGTACATTTTTAAAATCGCTGCGTTGAGAGATATACGAAATTTGTTTCCCCTGAATCATAACCCCTTTTATGCTGCCTTTGGGAACACCGAAAGTGTAAGAATGAGCCCCCCCAAAAAAAAAACGAGTCGTCGCGCACATGCATATGTTTGTATGTATGTCCTTATTTGCAACGTTAGGCAAAGTGCATCAGTTTGATAATCCTTCCCGATGGTTAACTCCACTCACTCTGATATTCTCCCCCTTCATTTTTTTTTTCTCCCCCCCTACGAAGGACCATCGAGCGTACATATCTGTGGGCGTCCCGGAGGCCAAAGTGTTCATCATAGATAACCGAGGCATCGTGCACCACGTCAACTCGACCTACGCCAAAACGTAATGTCTACCGGAGGCGCTAAATGGGAGGGCCCCAAGCGGCACAACTGCCGAATGATGCTCTACTTCCCCTGTTCTCAAAGAATCGTCGCGCCACCACTTCACGTTTTTGCAACTCCCCCTCTCCTCACACCTGCAGATATGAAACCATGAGCGAAATAACGGAGCACATGTTCCCATGCATCAAAAATGACATAAAGAGAGAAGATGACGACCAAGTAAAAATTCAAAATGATAAAATATTTAGCTTAACTAAATTGTGATACATACCCATTTGTCAATTACCCAGGCGCTTTAAACGTGATTATGTGATTTTTTTTCTGTGTTGTGCGGATTACATTCCAGCTAGCGTGCACTCACATCGAGTGCGGATGGTCACAAGCCTCCCCAGCCTTTTCACGTTGTATACGTTCTCCCCAGTATTAGCCACACGCTTTGCACACACACACACAGTGCACACATTGCTCAAGTGATTTTCATGTAGCTTTTTTCCCCTTCCCACAAGTGTACTAAATTTTCACCATCCAAATTTGCCATAATGTCACCATGCCAATTCGAGAACTGAATTAAATTTGAACTTTTGTCCTTTCAAATAAATTTGAGAAGTTTCTTTTTGTTTTATTTTATTTTTTTTTTTCCACTTTAAGTTGTTGCATAAATGTGTGCATTTCGGATGGGTAGAATTTTGTGCTGTTCCTTTTTGACCATCCAATTTTGGGGGTTTGTGCAAGGGGAGTTCTTTTTTTTTTTTTGCCATTTTCTATGTTTCCATTTCCTATGTTATCTCTTCATTATGTTCTTTCCCGCGCGTGGCTCACTTCGAAAGGAGTTTTTTTTTTACTAATGTGAGGCAGCGGGGCTCCACGAAAAAACCACTCCCGCTCACGTTGTGCAAAACATATTATCTCATTGCTGTCTTTTTTTTTTTTTTTTTTTTTTTCCCCTGCCTTTAGTACAATTCCTTTCAGTACTGGAAGATCAACAGCCTTACTTACTACGAAAAGTACATGGATGTGAGTGACAGCAGTTGAGTCTGTGAAGGAGACGTGTCAAGAAAGTCACCCCTTTTAAATAATTAGCTTGTTTGATTTGTCTGCCGCGTCGCCCTCCTGAACTGCGTCTTTTTCCTCCCACACTCTCTTCTTTTTTTTTTTGTGTTTTGAAACCCGCTTTTTAGTTTTTAAAAACACACACATCGCTGTGTGCCACTCGTCTTAACGACAAAGTGGAAATATCTTTGTACCATGCACCATTGTTTTTAATTACCCATGTGTAAAGCGGCAATCGCATGTGGTGCGATGTTCCCTTTTCTTTTTTTTTTTTTTCCTACCCAGCTTTGTGAATAATTCTTTGTCCTTCCCGAGGGCATTACATAACAATCTTTCTGTTTATGTTTCTTTTTACGTTTCTTTTTATTTTTCCTTTTTTCTTGCCTTTTTTGTTCCAATTGGATGTTTCTCCAAGTCATGTACGCGTGCGATGTTGCGCACCCGTGTCGCTTCAAAAAACCTAGATTATACAGACTACTTTTATTTTGTAAGAGTAACACAGTTATAAAAATTTTGTACAGATATTACACAACCCTGTGGTCATTAATATCATACTTTAAGTTTTTTTTTTTTTGTTTTTTTTTTTTTCTTTTGTCCTACCGGCGTAGGCATTTTAAGTATGCACCGACATGGGGGTAGTTCTTCTTGCCGGCTTACACCACTTCAAGTGAAACGGTGACTTGAAGGAAAAAAAAAAAACAATTCAAATGATTTTAATGTGGAAAAAAGCCGAAGCAGTAATTACTCCAGTAAGATAAAAAAGGAAAAACACTTTTCCGCATTCCCTCAAGCAAAAAGGAATATCGTGGCCGTGTTTTGACTAATTAAAATATTGTGCTGTAGGCACAAATGGACGAGTTGGACTTTGTAGAACCGCTCCCCCATCCCAAGGCACAATGAAACATTAAAAAAAATAAATAAATTATAAAATGAAACAGAGCAACGTACAAAAACATGTTTACGGCCAAAAAAGACTGGCCTGGCGATATTAACATCAATTCGGGAATGTCTAGCCTAATGGGCGAAATGCCGTTTCACCTAACCCAATCAGGATTAGTCAATTATCAGCTCGTCCAATTTCCAATCCTCATAACTACCATTAGGTAAGTACCTCCTCAGAATGAATGGAATTGATTTGTTATGTAACTCCTTTTCTGCAATCACCAAGGGGTCATTGTTAAGGTAATTATCATATTCATTTTTCCCATTAGATACCTCTCCTCCTTGTGTCTCTATGGGTATGGTCAGGGGGGCATTTAAACTTATTTGTAAAGCTCTAGTGCCTATAATTCTGGCCTTTTCATACTTGGTTAAATAGGGGCTTGTTATCCTGATGTTATCTTCATTCGTATCCGAATGTTCGTAATCGGACTTTTCTTTCTTCATTTGATTTTCGGTTATAATGTCTATGTCATTCTCGTAGTTGTCGCCATCATCGCTGTCCACTCCTTGTCCGAACTCGTCTCCCATGAAGTCGTCCTCATCGTTCAGGTAGTTTTCGTTGAAAGCGTCCACTGCAAAGGGGGCAAGCAAAATGGGGCATCAAGGTGGAACATCAAAGTGGAGACACCAAAACCAATACACCGCAGTTATACCGCAGTTTATACCGCATCGCCAAATGAGATGGGACACAAAATCGCTACACAGAGAAGGACAGACTGAGCTGCGCCACGGACATGCAGTATCTCCCCACACGAATGGTCCCATTTCTACATGCACTGTTCACGCGTATTACTTGTCGCGCGCCGGGAAAAACAAAAAGAGGTGGCTTGTTCTCTGCTACGTTATCCTATCTTATGCTGTGCCAAAGGTAAGCGGGGAGAAGGACCGCGCAGCACTTTCCCTTTACCTCTTCCAAATAATACAAAATAGATTTTCTCAAATGTTCAACAAATGACCAATTGAGTGAAGCGCCTCACTTCGTCCCTCACGTTGTTCACACCTACATATATTTATATGCTAGTGTAAGCAGTGCTTATTTATGATGCCATAATTTTTGCGCAACGCCGCTCAATCGTTGAACCGCTTAATTACGTCGCGGGAAAAACTGCCTCAAATATTTTTGGAGGCAAAAAAAGGGGAAAACAGCAACAAACATAGTTCTTCCAAACTTTGCAAAATTTTTTTTTTTTTTTGTTTTTTGCATACAATTGCTTTTTTTTTTTTTTGTATATGCAACTGCCAGGGTAGAGTTTTTCGTTACAATTTTTTTCAATTTGATTATGCGCTCATATGGGCATATAATTTTGTGGGGTGCTTCATTTTTAGTACGCCCTTTTTTTTTTTTCTCCCCTTATCGTGGTGCCGTTTTTATAAACATGACAGAGGCTATTCTGTTAACTTACCACTACAAAGAGGAAAATTATTTTTAACCCATTTTGAAATGAAAAAATTGACACAACTACCCATGTGGTGCCCGCTCCGCCACACGTGCAAGTCGAAATTAATGGCATGTACGAGGGAGGAGTAATAAAATGTTCTTTTTTCTTATGTCCCCCAAAGTCATCGTTACGAGAGCAGAAATATGGTATATGAGGACGCTTCCCTGACAGGAGCGCTATTGACAGGTTCCCCTGTGGAGCCGTGTAGCCATAAAATCATCAAATAAAAAGAAGCAACGCTGAGATGGAAACGCTCACAAATAAAACATGTGGGTGGAAATATTTTAAAAGGTTGTACTAACTGTCTAAGGGAGCATAGATGAGAATGAGCCCATCACGTAGCGCACTTCCATCATGTGAACTCATCCGGGGAGGGGTCACAAAACCCCCACTTTAAGTAAAAATAGCAAAACAAATGTTTAGCTTATATAAGATGTCTCCCGCTTCATGCCCCAGAGGCTCTTCCAAAGCAATGCACAAATGTCTATGTCCACAAGGCGAATACCTATCAACTGCCTTACTAGTAATCTTTAAAAATAATTATAAAACTGTTTTATCACCCCGAATTTAATTCGGTCTCTTGCTGGCCCCTTCCCCTGAAACCCCCTGTTCTATCCATGTACAAAAGTGTATACGCTTAAATATTGTGCATTTTGTGAAGCAAGCACAATGTAAGAAAAAAGACGCTACCACGTTTTAGACCCCCCCAAAAAAGGTACCTAAAATTGTGCCACTTCGTTTCCATCCCCACAATTGGCCATTCCATTTATCGCCCAAATGACATATCGTTGCAACCATCGTTTTGGTAACCCTCCCCCTGTTATCCTTTGACACACGTCCACAAGTGGAAGGCCCCCCAAAACAAAGTAAGTAGAACAATCCAAAGGGAGGTTAATAATAGCTGCCTACGTACCTGTAAGGGCAACTCTCTTGTAATATTAAAAAAGGTTTATCGCTACTTCACTGTGGCTCATTATTATTTCCAAAAATATTAACAGCCCCATAGAGGGTGTGCCTTGTCGTGTGTCCCACCATACCTCTGAACTGTGGGCTAAAGGACAGAGAAAGAATATAGCAGAGGAAAACCAATTAAGAAAGTGCCATATAAAAAAAAAAAAAAATGCTTAATTGGGCAAAAAAAAAAAAAAAACCCTCGAAATTTAAAAACAAAGGGGAAAATCTTTTTTGGAAGGCACAAATATGTGCTGCTGCCCAAATCAACCGCGTTAACGTCATTTTTGTCGAAACAAAGACGTAAATTTTGGTAAGCGGCAGGACCAGCATAATTTTTTCTGCACATATATGTAAGCTTATGTACCTTCCTACGTATACTCATGTCCTCCACATTCTATTATGACTGTCCATTCGCTTTCGCCGTTTATTTTATTTTATTATTTTTTTTTTTTAATATTTCCCTTCATGTCCAATTTTGTTCTGCGCGCACGGTAAAGCGTCCCATAGGAATATAACGGCTGGGAGGAAGAAGATAATTCACAAATATTTTTGCGGACGAGAAAAGAC